GGTTTTCATGAGCTGTATGCCATAATCATCAGTATTAAAACAATTAAAGACCTGAAATATTTCAGTTGGTGTGCAATGAATCTGAAATATATGAAAGTTTCATTTTTATCATTACATTATGGAAAATAATGACCTTTATCACAATATGCAAATTTTTTGAGAAGGACCTGTACGCTCCCAATGTTTTGTTGGTCTTTTTTTTTTATAAATAATTACCTTTTTTTGCGGTTGTATTTATTTATTTATTTTTGTATCTTGAGATCTATGACGTCATCAAATACTCGAGTTCTACTCGGGTTTTATTATGTTAATGTCGAGTTTAAAAATTATATACTCATTCAACCCCTAGTTTCACTTGATGTTCATGTTTGAGCACTGTAGCTTCAGCACTCAAAGGATGTGATGTGTTACCGTAGCAACAAGATAAAAATTGATTTGGGTCTAAATGGGTTAAATGTAGTGACTACAGACTGGAGCTGTGCTCACAACAGTCCCATCTTGGTCACAGTACTGTCCCCCGCTGACTCCTCTGAGGCAGCTATGGCTGAAGTGGTTCACAACATCAAAGTTCATGCTCAATAATCCAGGTCAAATCCAGGTCATGACTGCCTCAGATGAGTGAGCGGGGGACAGGGTGGACTCCAGAAACCATATTAGCACCATCAAACTGGTTGGCCCACTATGTGAAGGTGCTATTTATAAGACCGAGTTTGTTGTGGCTCCTCGGACTGATGAATTTGGATGAAAGACGAAACGTTTCAACATAAAGAACTATCCAGAGGACCTGACTGAACTCTTGTTGGATTTTTTTCCTAGATCATTGAGCATGAACTTTGAAACTTAAGTATAGTTTCCTCAAATGATTGGGGTGGACAAAGAATAATGTATGGGGGCCAAGGCCACCATTGGCCACCCTCTAGCTCCACCACTGCACCTTGTAGTGGATAAAATGGCTCCCTCCAGTCTGGGCTGCGTCAGACAAGCACAAATCAAACCTCCCTCTGTTCTTCTCCGGTGTAACTTCTACCCTCTGGAACATCTTGCACCAAAACATTCAGGTTTACTCACATTCTCTGTTCCAACTCCAGTCCAGAAAAACACTCATCTCAAAAACTACAAACATTCACTGGTCTAATTCCTCAGTGATGGTGGTGGCAGTGTGTGTGTGTGTGTGTGGGGGGGGGGGGGGGGTCAGCTGTTTGACCTTCAGCACATTTCTGTTGACAGCCTGAGCAGAGATCTTCAGAGTCGTGGCCTCAGATCAAAGTCAAAGTTTCTTTATTTGTCGTTCCATCACGTGTGGTACATGTGATGGAACGACATTATGTACACAGGTTCCCAGTTACTTCCAACAAAAATATAAATTGTAAAGAAAAACAGTAATAAGATCTAAGATATGAACTAAGAAATACACTAACCTAAGAATACACTAAGCACTAATAGTGCGAAACAATATGTCGAACAACAGCAGCACGAACATGAGTCTGTGTGAGCAGATGAGCACGAATGAACACGGCAGCATGAAACATATCAGCAGCATGGATGATCAGCAGCACATATCAACAATCAGGTGGCATTGCAGTGATTTATTCACAGTAATTATTCTGGTTAGAGACTCGTGAGTCTAACAGTCTCAGGGTAGAAGCTGTTCCTCAATCTTGTGCATATGTGTCAAACTCAAGGCCCGGGGGCCAAATGTGGCCCTCGTTGACATCTTATCTGGCCCTCAAGATGATATGTGAAATGTAAAATACTTCTATCTTTTGAAAATTTTCAGTAATCTTTGATTATGACGTTGAAAACACAACAGAGAACATCAAATGAAACAAATCAAACTCTTGTTGAGGAACATGTGACCAAGAAAAGATGTTTGGTATCTGAGTTAATGTTGTTTCTGAAATTGTCCCTTAGTTTGAAAAAGGTTTTAATTTTGGCCCCTTTTTGTAAGTGAGGGTGCATTCACACCAGCCCTGTTTAGTCCGCTTTAATCAAACTTTAGCTCGTTTTCCTAGAAAGTCCTGTTTGTTTAGGGAGGTGTGAACGCACCATCGAACTCTGTCACGGAACAAAAAGGCGAACTCTGGCCCAGGCTAAAACCTAGGTCTCGGTCCGGTAGAAGTGAACTCCAGCGCGGTTCGAGTAGAGTGTGACTGCAAACAGACCGAGCCCCGCTCCGCAGGACAAACAAACACGCATTTCTCTTACCTCATATGGAGCCGTCAGCTGCCTTGTGTGAAAAACAATATTCTCCATGGTCTTCTGTCTCATCTTCTGCTCATGCTAAGTCCATTTTTGAAAAATTACCAAATATAACCCCTAAAACTGCTAAAACTTGATGCCACTTCGTTTTTATTTTTATTTACAGAAGAAGAAGAAGACGTGTCTTCAGAGGTTTTTGTGTTGTTTCTTTCAGTAGTTCTTGATGCAGCGCCTCCACAGGCGAGCAGGGGAATAGGTTGGTTCAACAGGTTTACTCGACTGCACAATGCAGTGTGAATGCAAACTCACCAGCTCAAATGTAAACAAAAGGTCATGAATATTGGTCCCGAACCGAACAGAGTCTACCGGACTATCTGGTGTGAAAACGACCTGAGTTTGACACCCCTAGTAGTGGTTCTACACTTAATGCTCCTTAGTTCACACCAGCCCTGTTTAGTCCGCTTTAATCGAACTGTAGCTCGTTTTCCTAGAAAGTCCGGTTCGTTTGGGGAGGTGTGAACGCGCCATCGAACTCTTGTCACGGAACAAAAAGGTGAACTCTGGCCCGGGCTAAAACCTAGGTCTCGGTCTGGTAGAAGAGAACTCTAGTGCGGTTCGAGTACAGTGTGAATGTAAACAGACCGGGCCCGCTCCACAAGCAAGAAGTGGAGTACAGCGCAGGACAAACAAACACGCATTTCTTTTACCTTATATGGAGCCGTCAGCTGCCTTGTGTGAAAAACAATATTCTCCATGGTCTTCTGCCTCATCTTCTGCTCATGCTAAGTCCATTTTTGAAAAATGACAAAATATAACTCCTAAAACTGCTAAAACTTGATGCCACTCCGTTTTTGTTTTTATTTCCAGAAGAAGAAGTGTCTTCAGAGGTTTTTGTGTCGTTTCTTTCAGTAGTTCTTGGTGCAGTGCCCCCACAGGCGAGCGGGGGAATAGGTTGGTTCAACAGGTTGGCTCGACTGCACAGTGCAGTGTGAATGCAAACGCACCAGCTCAAATGTAAACAAAATTTCATGAATATTGGTCCCGAACCGAACAGAGTCTACCAGACTATCAAGTGTGAATGCACCCTTAACCTCCTTCCTGAGGGCAAAAAGGTGTGTGCTGGGTGAGTGGGGTCCTTCATGATGCAGGTGGCCCTCTTCCTGCATCTGGACGTGTAGATGTCTGTGATGGTGGGGAGACTGACTCCAACAGACTTCTGTGCAGGTCTGCTGAAAGTGACTAAATCCTCTCTTGTTTTTCCTCACCAGCGAACCCCCTCCACTTCCTGGCAGCGCATGCCTCGGCCTCGGCCTCCCTCCCCACCAAGAGGCAGAATGGAGAGCTGCCGGACCAGCCGGAGTCAAAGAGAGTGAAAACGGAGCGAGAGGACGGAGACGCAACAGCAGCTGCCACCAACAGCAGCATCACGGACAAAACCAGAGAGGGGGGGGACAAGTAGCATGCCTGTCTTAGTCCTGACCCCACCATCCATCATCTTCAAGGTGCCAAAAGAAAAGCCCTGCTGGATGTGCCCCCCCCCCCCCCCCCATGTGAGACAAGAAGCAAAAACTCAAAGTATCAGTGATGACTGTGAAGACACCCCCCACCCCACCCCTGGATGTTTCAGACCCAGACAGGCAAGAAGCACAGAAAGAAACAAAACAATTAGAAAACAAACATTAACCCCCACCCACCCCACCCCCCACACACACAGAGGAAGCGTGTCCTCCTGGTAGCATTAGATGAGTGTCAGCAGCTGTTTGGACATGTGGACGTCCCCGCCTTCAGCAGCAAGCCTCCTCCTCCCATGTCCCATAAAACCCGTCTGAGACATTAAAACATCTCATATTAGTTTTTGTTGGACTGTTCTGTGAAATGAATGTAGTTTTTTTTTTTTTTTTTTAATGAAAACACTACAAGTTTATTTCTACTCACTGATGCAAACTACATTTCTGTAAGTCTGTAAATCAGCAGATGTTTTTCATATTTCACAGATTTCCTCTGAATTCAAAGTATATTCCAGTGTGTATTTGCAGTTTGCATGTAGAAACCAGTTTGGAACTGAAGAGAACCTGGACTGAATTTCTGCCGTTTGATTCGGACCAGTGCTGCACTTAAACCCCTTTTTTATTGTTTCCTTTATTCTTTTTTGAGTTTTGTGTTGAACTTGGCATCTCTTGGCTTGATTTTTATGTTTTTTTTTTCTTTTCAAGCAACATGAAACTTATCAGATTATCTCGTCTGTGTTACACGAGAAAAACAAAACGATGGCTTTTCTTTTCTGCTGCCGTAGAGAAATGCTCTTTTATATATAAATTTATTTAAAATACTAATGCTCTGCTTGTTTATAAGGTGTTAACTCAAAGAATAACAAACACACACTCTTTATGGTGTGGCTACATCTGAGAGGTTCCTTTCAAATGGTATGTTGTATACTTGTATACATATACACATATTTATATACATGAATATAAATGTATGTATAGAGGGGGAGTGGTGCGGACGAGGTAAGAAAAGGTGAGCCTGTGACAGGAAGTTCACTAGGTCAACTCCCTGGAATGTGGGTGGGAAAGGTGAAGCACCAACACCTGCCTCCACTCGGGGGGGCCCTTGAGCAAATGAAAACAGGATTTCAAAAAATTAGAATACTGTGGAGAAATCAGCCCAAATATTGCAGGACATGAATGTTTTAAACGGAGTGTGACACACTAGTCATGTACTAAACTCAAAGCACCTGCATAGGTTTCCCCAGGTGTGATTAAATTGCTTCAGTTTGGGTCAATTGTCAGTTTGGTTCAATATGAGGAAGACTGCAGACATAACTGGCCAGAAGACCATCATTGATACCCTCCATAGGATGGATACACCACAAAAGTTTATAGCTAAGGAGGCTGGCTGTTCAGAGTGCTGTGTCCAAGCATATCAATATTTATATATGTCTAGTGGAAGGGCAAAATGTGGCAGGAGAAGATGCACCAGCAAAAGAGATGACCATGGGCTTCAGCAGATTATCAAACGAAGAAGATTCCAGAAACTGGCAGAGGTCCAGAAAGAGTGGAATGAGGTGGGAGTCACAGCTACAAAAACAACCACATTCTGTCGCATCCGGGAGATGGGCTATAACTGTTGGGTTCCTCCGTCCTTTTTTCCAATGAAAGTAATCAAAAAGTAATCATTCAAAAATCAAGGTCTAAGGGTTTGGAGGAAGAAGGGTGAGGAACTGAACCCATACTGCTTGAGGTCCGGTGTGAAATACCAGTCAGTCATGATTTGGGGTGCAATGTCTGGTGCAGGTGTTGATAAACTGCTTTCTTAAATCCAAGGTCACCACAACAGTCTACCAGAATGTTTTAGAGCACTTCATGATGCCCATGCCATAGTGGTTGACTGGCCAGCCAACTCGCCAGATCTAAACCCCATTGAGAATCTATGGAGTATTCTCAAGAGGAAAATGAGGGGCACCAAAGAAGAGCTGACTGCAAGCATCAAGGAAATCTGGGCTTCCATAACTCCCAGTCAATGCCACAGGCTGATTGCCTCAATGCCACGTCACATTAAAGCAAGGATTAAGGGAAAGGGATATACATGCATACATATATATACACATATATATATATATACATACATATACATGCATACATATATATATATTCATATACATATATATATGTATATATATATATATATTAATATATATGTATATATATATGTTTGCATGCATATATATATATGTATGGATGTATATGTATGTATATGTATATACATATATATGTATATACATGTATATGTAAATACATATGTATGTATATATGTATGTATATATGTATATATATCTATATATATGTATATCTGTATATATATATGTATATACATATATATGTATATATATATATATATGTATGTATATATGTATATACGTATGTATATATGTATATACGTATGTATATATGTATATATATGTATGTATGTATATGTATGTATATATGTATGTATATATATGTATATATGTATGTATATATGTGTATATATATGTATATATATGTATGTATATATATGTATATATATGTATGTATATAAGTATATATATATGTATGTATATATATGTATGTATATATGTATGTATATGTATGTATATATGTATGTATATATGTATGTATATGTATGTATATATGTATGTATATATGTATATGTATGTATATATGTATATATATGTATATATATGTATATATATATATATATATATATGTATATATAAATGTATATATATGTATATATATATATGTATGTATATATGTATATATATATGTGTATATATGTATATATATGTATATAT